TTTTACGGAGAACGCGTCTTTGGCTAGAAACTGTAATTTTTAGATTCTCGCTTAAACAGCAGCAAAAAATCAACATTCAGTGCGATTTCAATGAACATTTCTCAGTTCTAGGATGCAAACGTTCCCTATCGCAAGAAAAATCTTCAAGTGCGCACTTGCTCTCGTTTAGAAGGCTTAAAACTGTAATTTTAAGACTCGCGCTTAAACTGCAAGAAGAACTTATCCAAAGAATGAGACTAAAAATAGTTCTCATGTGACTAAGGGCCAGCCTAAATTGCTCACCTATCTTCCGTGTTGGTGCACTCGATATCCGTGTTGGTGCTGAAGCAGCGGCCGTCCGAATTGAGAATTCTGCCTTCTCTGCAGGAGCATTCCACCTGCGCATTGGCGGTTAGCTCGCAGTATTCCTCGCATCCCCCGTTATTTATTAGGCACTTATTCGAGAAACAATCCTCTGTGTCATTGGCCACTGCCACAATGCCCATCGGCCTGGAACAGCCATATCATCAGCACTCAAACGAGACTGTTTATTGCACCTACCTGGCAATGTCCCGCCGAATGGACACAAAGTACTGTCCAGTTAATTTATCGGCTCGCACTACTGCGTGCAAAATCCAGTCGGTCCAGTAGATAAAGTCGCCATATATGGCAAGCGCGAAAGGATGTTGCGGAGTTACTTTCGCCAGTATCACCCTGAAAAGTCAATTTGAGACTGAACTTGAGCCTTTGGACCCATCAATACCTTTTCGAGCCATCATATTCGCATCGTTCGATTTTATCCAGCCGGGCATCGCCCCAGTAAAGCTTCTGTGCCTTGTGGTCCAAAGTTAAACTGTTGGGCATCCGGATATCCGTCGAAATGATCGCTTCCCGCTCATACCTAAACAGCCAGTTGCTCAATCCGGAAGCTCGCAGGCTTTGCATGCTTACCCGCTAAAGTAAGCTCTTTCAACTGTGGGCTGATGAGCGTTCCAGTTCGTCCAGTACACTCGCTGACCGCAGGAATCCACCGCAATCCCTCTAGGCTTATCCTGCGAGCGCAGCCTAAGAGCAAACAAACATTCAACTTGCGTTCTTTTGCTTCATTGGTGCCACTCTACCTCACAACGCTTTCAACTGCGGACGAGTTGTAGATTTGATCGGTCAAATTCACGCGGTTGATCGTGGCGTCATTGTTGCAAGTCCAGTAAAGCGCGTTTCCCAGCTGGAACAGTGATAAGCCAACTGTTGGAGAAGGGAAATTCACATGCAAAAATTACCTGTTCATAGGCCAGCCCTTCTACTGAACCTTGCTTTTCCACAATAATCCGGTGGTCGCTGCCGTTGAAAAACACCGCGTTTATGGAGCCAATTTGAATGTCCGAGTAGAAAAGCCGTTGGTGTTTGTGGCTGAAGCTCAAGCCTTAAGCAGCAGCTTCGGTTAATTGAGCAATGCAATGATGAAGACTTCTGAAACTCACCAATGGCGTTTTTCAGGTAGGACGAGTTCTTTATGGGCGGATAAGGGGAGTTCATGAAGTTTTTATCGCCGGTCATGTGTATCGACTCGATGCTGAGTATTTTCGAAAACATGACGAAACTGTCGTACGGCTTGCAGGTTTTTCCGTCGTCGGAAGGCATTCCATGCGAGCACACGCACACGGCCTGAGTTCCGTTGAAGAGACAAAGTTGCTCGCAACCGCCGTTGTTTGTCGCACACACATTAGTTCCCCCTGGAATGGCCAGTAATTTACCGTGCTCGATTGCTCGATTTGGTTAAGCAACTCTCACCTTGTTTCCGCTTGGAGAAGATCTGAATATCACTGACCGAAGATCCCAAGTCTTGCTCTAGCAGAGTGATGTCGGACAGATTCGATATGGGCGCCTTACTTATGCTACCGTCGTGTTTAGTCGCGTCCATCCAGTAGAGAATGTCTTCGAAAAATGTAAGACTCACCGGCTTGGCCAGCGTGCTGTTGTTCAGCAAAATCTACAAATCGGACTGTAGGCAAGTGCAACTCATTTTTACTATGTGGAAACTGCCGCTTACCGAATGGTTGCCACCATCGTATTTAATTCGCTCGATCGTTGCCGATGAGGCGTCGCAAAAGTAAATCTGCTCATTATCCGAGTCCAAAGCAATGTCGCTGAACTTCTTGGGTTTGCTCAAAAGAGTCCGCCGATTCTGGCCGTCCAACGTCGCTATTTCCAGTCTGCAAAGCAATTATTAGACTAACTTTTTCGGGTTTTTAGGCCGTCGATCGCCAGAATTTCTTCTTGGCGTTTCGCAAGCACGAGTGGCTTGCATCTTCAGAAGTGGTTTGCTTGAACGCTTACACTGTTCTCATCAGAACCCGATCAGTTCTTCCGCAGAAC